CTGAAGTGGCTGCAGTGGTTTGCAATACTTATTCATTTCTGTGAACACATTCTTATAAACATAAAAGCCCCCAGTCAACACACTGGAAGTTATTGGCACAGAATGAAGTTTTGGACCATTAGGAACAAATCCAAAGTTTTTTCCACTGATGGCAGTTGACTCCAAATTAATTTGGTAGATAAAGAATAACACTCTCATATTATTACAGGATATGGTACTCCCCCCAGATATACTATACCTAGCTGCCTGCTTTAAATCACTTCTTATCAACTCCTTGATAACTCAGGATCTAACTCCCCTTTTATATCCAGATCACTTAGACAACAGTATTTCTTTAACGTTGGCAGCTTCAAATCATATCATCCTCTACTTTTTTCCATATTTCCAATTTTCCTGAACAGTGGGTCAAAATGTAAACTAGACTACAGTATTGATACATTTATAGATATTACCATTTTGATGCACATACCCATTAATTTAGTTAAAATAAAAACTGAACTGAAGCCTTTGAACTAAACCGTCCTATTAACCCAGCCCCTTGGGTTATTTATTTATTTAATGCCTCCAGCTCTTGTAGTTATTCCAAGCTAAAAAACACAGCAATAAAAAACACAGAACTATAACAAGACAGCTTGTTTTCAGTGAATTATAAATAGTTAAAAATTAGATTTTATTTACAAAAAATAACTATGTCAATGTATCAGCTATATTTTTCTTCAAAAACAATTTTTCCAAATTGTAGTTTCTACAAGAAATTATGGCTAATCTAACAATAAACAAAGTTTGGGGTATATGTTGTGAAATTTGTTTTTTCAATCATCTGAACCAAACTTTCAAAACTTTCAAGATTTGCCATGCACAAGAAATTCTTGGTGGTTAGGTATGATTAAAGATACCAGATCCCCATCTCTCTCCAATTGTAGCTTACGGATAAAATCTTTTAACCTTAACAAATTTTAAAATCCTTGTTGAAATGTGTACAACTGTACATAAACACTTATATTTAAATCAAGTTGTCAGCAACAAATGGTTAGACAGAATTCCTAATGGCAGATCTCTTTTAACCTTCCAGAGACCACAGAACTAATGCCATGGCTTTCACCCTCACTCCCCCGAGATTGTTCCACTGAGTCAGCTCCACTTTCAGAAATCTCTTCCCCACCCCCCCACCCCCACAAACCCTTCAGCTACCACTGTGCTGTAATATACAATTAAAAACAGAATCCCTTGAAAACCTTCATGCTACATCTTCCTTTTCCAAAAAGCTAGTAGAAGAATGAATTTTGCAGTAAAAAATAAGTTTATCAAAAAAGATCTGTGTGCAAACTAATCTTAACAGTCATCTTTTAAGAACTAGGCCAGAAGAGAAGAAAGATTACTTCTGGCTAAAATGGGACAAATTAAATTATGAGAGGCTTAATGCATTTATTTTAAATTTAATTGCATAACCTTATGTCAAGGTTATTATATTCTGCACAGCATTCTCATCTAAAACTCAAAACAGTAAAGCAGAAGCTTGGTTCGCAGCTTCTTTAAATAAACCCATCCAGAGATTCTTTCAGCCTGTAAGACATGCACAGATTGTGATTGCATTAACTGTAACTTCAGCCATTGCCTGAGCTATGAGCATTATTATAAAATTACATTTAAATATGACTTTGGGATCTATCTTCGGCAGTGAATTCTGATGAGCCCAGAAGCTTCTTTGCCCTGCATGTGACAACCTGCATTCATTTGTATTAAAGACAAAAGGCAAAATAAAGAGACAAAGCCCAGTGATACCATATTCAGAAGGCAAAAACGTGTATTGTTCCAATAAGAATCCAAACAAGGAAACTGAAACTATGGACACATTTCTGCACCAAGTTAACCAAAACTGTATTGTTCCTGTTGCAGGGTGCTAAGGGAAGCCTGCCCCTTTAAGGGCAGAAACAGCCTAGCTAGAGAGCCCTGAGAGTGAGGCAGAGCTCAACAGCTGCAGGTTGCCTGGGGAGCGGGCTAACGAGGCAATTAGTTGGCACCTGCACATGGTCAGCTGACCGGAAGGAGGCAGGGTCCTGGGCGCGCACAAGCCCCAGAGCTGGGGCTGGGGGCGGTTAGTTCTCTGGCACTCACTAGGGGAAGCAGCTCCCGTGCAAAAGAGCTACCTGGGGACAACTGATTACCCAATTTGCTGCCTGCAAGATTTATAGGGCTCCATGAGCTCATAAAGTACCTGGGGCTAGGAGGCACACAATACTAAGGGATAAGTTTACATTTTTAAAGGGGCAGAGTGTGGTCTCCATTGTTATTGTTATGTTGCAGCCCAGGGGCTTGCGTTTCTGTTGTCATTGATACCAGTGGACTGGGATGAGGCTAATAGGGGAGGAGGAGGCTTCACTGGGGCACACTATTGTGTAGAGCCTCAGGGCCAGAGGGGCACAGAGACAGGGGCTGCAAAGAGCCTAGCAACTACAGGATGCCAAGTCAGGCCAAGACCTCATCAGAGGGACAATATTTATATACCACCTGCGAGGCATGAGGCATGGTAAAGGGGAGGTTTTGGAGCCAAGCATCTAGCCCATAAATCTTAGGGTGTCCCATGAGGCACTGACCCACATACAAACTTGTGGGCAGCCTCCCTATTTATTATCTTAACCAACAAGATGTGGCAGGGGTGATTAGAAGGCACCCAAAGGGCAAAGTTGGCATGGGCATGGAGCCCTAGGGGCATCATGGCCATCCCTGGGGACCCTGCACCATGACGGTTCCCACTAGGACTCCATGATTTCCTGTGCTATTAATTTTATCTGGATTTAGCTTGAAATGTAAAAGCGTATCTTGTTAAAAAAAAAAAGAAAAGAATAAGAAACCTCTACCTTGTAGGTAAAGAACACTGTGGCAAAGAACAAAGACACTACAGAAATTTCCTGTGTTTAGGATTATATGGCCTTACCATTCTAGTAAGTGTTCAAAACACAAGCGGATTAATGCATGGGGCATTGGGGCCCAGGCCCAGATGCCCCTGCCAGTCAGGCACCCCCTGCATGCCTGGGTTCCCTCAGGAAATGGCCAGTTTCCCCTTGTAGGTGGGCAGCCTTCTAGCCTGCAAGGGGTCCTGCTTGGGGCTGCTGGGAGTGAAACACAGGGGGTGCCATGTGCATGTGCATAGCTGCATGCATGCATGCAGCCAGGAATACAGCAGGGCAGCACGGAGAGCAGCTCCCTACAGGTAAGTCTATGGAGGGGAGGGGCATGGAGGGGGCAGATCAAAAGCCCCCCGGTGAGGAAGAGAGTGGAGCAGAAGTAGGGGCATGGGCTGGGGTTGCTGCCCAGCCAGGGTGGTGTATGGGACCTAGGGCTGGGGCAGGGAGCAGGACAGAGCCACAGGCAGCTCATCCAGCATGCGCGGAGGGGAGGCGGGAGGAGGCTCCATACCACTGCACACAAAGACAACACAGAAGGCATTGTCAACTGCCCAGGGGCGATGCATACAGGGTGCACGGGAGTGCACATGCCCCCCCTGCTAGGCTGCGCTCCCTGTTTAGCCGGTGAGCAGGGGAGCTGGTGGGATCACCAGTGCCCCCCCTGCAATTGTTGGCCAGGGAGCGGGGCCGCCAGCAAAACCAGCTGTGCTGCTTCCGGAAGTGTCATGAGATCATGGTGAGTGAGATCCGTCG